TCGAAAGTTGAGTGCAGAGCTGACGGCCTCGTACCAATGCGCTTTGCAAATTTTCCATTCCACCTGTCTAAAGTACTGCGCCTGCCACGAAGAAGTGATGCCAGGTCATCCGAGGTGCTGCAACTGTCACGCAAAATCATCTCAGCAAACTTGAAGATCTGATGCTCCAAAATGCAACCCCTCTCAGGAAATCAGCGCCCTCACCTCCTAACAGCTCTGATGAACATGTCTCTTGCACTGCGCCTGCCACGCGACATGCATCTTGCCAGATCCTCTGCATATGTCCCACGGCTGCCATCGTTTTTGGAACTGCTACAAAACCCTCACGTTTTGCTCACTTTTGACAAGGTGCACAATCCCTTGCGCCTGCCACGCGAAACGAAATCTGAACGTCCGAAAGTGCTCCGAACCCCTAGTGTTTTTAACATTTTGACTTCGAAATATGCTTCGCGCCACAACGGCGTGCACTTTTTCGACATCTCATTTTCCAAAAGTGGTCGGGGGCTGGTGTGTTTTGTACACTTTGACTTCGAAATGTGCTTTCGCAACTTCTAAAAGTGCTCCGAGCGTGAAGTGTCTTTAGCTTTTTCACTTGCAAGCGTGCTTCATACTGAGATTACATGGATTTCTGTTTGGGTGTGCACTTTTTCGGCATCGCAACTTCTAAAAGTGCTCCGAAGATGAAGTGTTTTGTACATTTTGGCTTGGAAACGCGCTACGCGCCACAATGGCGTGCAACTTTTCATCTCTCATCTGACCACATGGCTCTGCACCTGACGCTTTCGCGAGCCTACTTTTCGACCCTCCGGAGCCAACAATCATTGGAGAAACAGTGTTTTGCGACTTTCCTACCTTTTCGCACACCTGGATCTTCTTTCTTCTGAGACTTTCTCTTTTTTGATCTTCTTTCTTTTGCTCTTCTCTTCTCTGACTCTTCCCACCTGTGCTTTTCCATCTGTCCATATTGTCGGAAGTTTGACTTCTAAATTTCCTTCGCCCACTTCAAAATTGCTGCCACCCCCTCTGGACAACACGTTGATACTTACATTATACCACTTCAAAATTACCAACCCCTCTGGCAGATAGAAACATACATTTTCACGTTTATGAACAAGCACGACACAACACTCTCATACTTACATTATACCACTTCAAAATTGCCACCCCCTCTGTCATATACATACATTTTCAGAAAGGGACGCTATCAGGTCCCCATTTTTCCACGTTTCTGGGAATGCAGCGTTTTTGCTACATCATGTTCAATCCTTTATGTTCATATACCTGTGATGGTATTGCTAGAGATCCACACAGATTGTCAGAATGTCCAGAGAGTCATGAAGATTCCCAGGGAAAAGGAAGGAGGAAAAACAAACATAGTGTGTGTATATATATATATATGGCTTCCCTTAGGGGGAGAGGTGGCCAAGGAAAAAAAGTTTTTTTGTTTTTTCAGGCTTATCCCCTCTCATAGCCCTCCTATGTACATAGCCTCTCCCTGATGGCAGGTTGCCAAAGGTTGCCAAAGAATGTCCAGAGAGTCATGAAGATCCCCTGGGAAAAGGAAGGAGGGAAAACAAACATAGTGTATGAATAAGGGGAGAGGTGGCCAAGGAAAGGGAGCTTTTTTTTTAATGAGCTTCCCCCCTCTCCTAGGTCCTAGCCCTCCTATATATAGCCCTCCTATATACATTTATGGACTTTCATTTTCCTTGTAGTAGTACTACTGTATGCATCTATGATATGGATTCTACATAAGTAGCGCATAGCAATACGTACACACATTTTCCACATGCACTTTGCATACGTAAAGGAATTCTTCCAGGATTGACTGCAATAAAGACTCTTTGGTTGCAACTGACTTTGCTCGTAAGAGTTGGCAAATGGTAAGGGCAGCTCCAACTTACCCTTTCTCCAAAAATATGTTTTTCCTGCATATTTCACAGTAATTTGCTATGCCACTGCATATCTAATCCAGGTACCCTGTACCATAATTGCTTGGCTGTGATTTTATAATCTTTTATGACAGGATGAGTAACACCTAAAAAGAGGTAAGACTGCTTATAAAACTTGACAGAAAACAGCTATGACACAACACATTGGACTAGGAAGTAGCGGCTCCCAGAATGCATTCATATGGAAAGGGGTCCCTTCTCCATCCTTTTGATCAATACTCACTCTTGTTCTTAATTCTTTGATCTATAAACTGTATGAACAGTTTCACGGGTTGTTTGTGCTTTAGTGGGTTCAACCAGTATGCAAGCGCATTGTCACAAGTGTGCAGTATCAGTATATATACAGTAGAAATGGCAGCTTCGAACATGCACTGATATCTAGAGGGTATTTTGTGATAAAAGTTAAAAGCAATATTTTTTGCAGATACCATAGCCATTTGCTGTGTCAACACATCCAAGCTGCATTTGCACTTAGAATGCAACTATTTTGTATAGACATTTTCCTTATATAGTACATACAGTTATGGAATGGGTGGCATACAAGTCACCTATGCCCTTGAAGACACAAGTTTTCTAGATTTTTCCTGCATATGCAATGGTATTCTTCCAGGTTTCAATGCAGTAAAAGATCTTTGCTTAAAATATCGATTGATCACAAGAGTTGGCAAATTCCAGGGGCTCTTCCATTTCCCCCTTGCTTCAGAAAAGGCGTTTTTACCTGCATATTGAATGGTAATTTGCTGTGTCACTGCAAGTATAACGGCAGACATTTTATTGCTATAAATGTATTCATGGCCGTGGGCAAAACTTAAACTATGTCAGTATAAGTTCATCATGGCAACCAGAAGGGCACAAGACCAAGTAAAGGAAACACTTAAGCAACCTTACCAAACAACTGTATCTATAGAATGGCTGCCTTGCTTGTGCATTGGCGCAGCAAGTTACCATGAAGTATGCCAAAAAAATGCAACTACTTGTGGAGGGAGGGTAGGTTGGAATTTGCATTTTCATTTACTAAAAGAGTTCCACTGGAACTATGATGTCAACCAAAAGGCGACCTGGCAATCCAATATCAAAAACCACCAATGCAAATACAAAGTGCTATGTATATGTATATATATATATACTGTCTTTGCAATAGCTGTATACCTAGGTAGTACCTATACATTAATATATACATCAAGTACCAACTGACACAATCAATCTCTATGTTTCAAGATGTTGCTGGGCAAACAATTTTGCCATTCATGCACTAAGACCACCTATCAAAAAACAATAGAGCCACAAAAAGCAAGCAACCAAGAATAGAGCTAAGGATTAACAAACCAAAAACAGTGCATCTCCCAAGAACTTTGATCTTTCATATATGATCAAAAGAGGAAAAGCAAGCATAAAATAGTCAAAAAACGCTTAAAACCACGTATTTTTGGGGACCTGGTGGCGTCCCACTCTCTCCGGAGAAGGTTCCGGAGAAGGTTCCGGAGAAGGTATGGGAGGCTTCCGTGCAGAGCCAGGTCAAGTTCAACAGGGTTCCGGAGAAGGTTCCGCAGAAGGTCTGGGAGGCTTTGGTGCAAAGCCAGGTCAGGTTCAACAAGGTTCAACCGGGAGAAGGTCTGGGAGACTTTGGTGCAGAGCCAGGTCAGGTTCAACAGCGTGTCGGAGAAGGTTCCGGAGAAGGTCTGGGAGGCTTTGGTGCAGAACCAGGTAAGGTCCAACAAATGGTGCAGAGCCAGGTCAGGTGCAACAGGGTTCCGGAGAAGGTCTGGGAGGCTTTGGTGCATCGCTTGGCTTCGCAGCACGCTTCAGAAAGATTTGTAAAAGTAAAACGTTGCGGCTGTTGGGGATACAACCGAAGCTTATTCACTTTACACTCTACACTCCACACTTTACACTCCTCACTCCACACTTCACGCTCCACACTTTACACTCCACACTTTACACTTTACACTCCTCACTCCACACTTCACGTTCCACACTTTACACTCCACACTCTACACTTTACACTCTACACTCCACACTCCACACTTTGCACTCCACCCTCTCCCGCGTTCCACAGTCTACAGTGCACTGGTACGGTAACAGGGGAAAAATGTAGACTGTTCAAATAATTTGTTTCACAAAAGTGTTCTACGTGTCTGCATATCCATGTGTTTCGACACCTGTACCATTAACATGCGTGTGAGCATTCGGGTTCGTGGGCTGCATGCATCTTGTTTCTATCGCTGCGACCTTGCTCGCGCGTTCTTGCTCCTTGCAGTCTTCGTTTCTTTGCTGCCCTCTCTCTGGCTCTTGCTGTTTGCTCTCATCATGTCTTGCCCCTGGCTAATCGTAATGTCTTCTCTGACGCGCTCCCCCTTGCCGTCGGCGGGGTCAGTGGATATATATATATATATATAGGTATTGAATAGATTCAATTAGTATACGGCCACCTCTGGTGAGTTGGCCTTTTCAGTTTGAAATCCGGTGGTTTGCGTCGCCACGGCCCAGGAGTAGAAGTGAATTTGGAAAAAACGCTCGAAAGGTGGAGCTTTTGCCCAGGCTCGGAGTTGATTTGCAGCTAGTTCTTCAAATGTTTTTGGAAGAGTTCTGAACTTCTCTCATTGGTCGCTTACAATTGCGAATCTCTATTCAACAAGTGGAACTTTCGTAATTTCGCGGTGGTTCATATTGATTCAGTCCGCTTGAGCACCAGTTGTTCCTGAGGTGGGGAGAGAGAGTTTCCTGGGAAACTGGTCGGATTGCAGTAGCCACGACCCAAGGCAGCTGCACACAAAACGGCACAGAGAAAGGTTCAAAATCCGTCAAAAACCAATCGCCAACGAAGCTGTCAAAGATGAAAACGTTTCAGTTGCCGAACGATGTTGTTTGGGACGATTGGTTTTCTAAAGTTTTCTACCCAAGTCCTTCACAATGTTCGAGCGCTGCATTTGATCAAGCTACTTCATAACTTAGACAGCCTTGATGGTTTCTGATACATTTGCATTGTGTGTAATATTGAAAATTGTTAATCGCATTTTGCTTCCACAACCTTTGAGTACCGAACAATGAAACAAGATGATAATTCTGACTCCGAATACATATGTTTCTTGTTTTTTTCACAAGAAGTTTTGACAGCACAAAAGAAATCCTGCAGCCTCACTACCACAGCAGGATATTGGTAGTTAGATTCCAAGACAGATCTAAGCAGATCAAGACAGATGGATGGATCATTCTCGCATACAATCTCCGCAAGAGTCAGTTCGGACAAGTGACTAGTTCCAGCCCTGAATGAAGCGCCCTGCCATCGCGTCATCCAAAGAGTCCAAGAGGAGCAAGGAAAGAGAGGCACAATGCAGGTTGAAAAAAGAAGGTGGAGATGCCTTCAGGCTCCACTGGCAAGTTACTTTACGTGATTTTTTATGTCCTTTATGTCAATTTGTGTCAATTTATGTATATTCATTGAACTTTATTGATATTCTATGATTAATATCCTGGGTGTCCCAGTGATCAAGCGGGTTACACTACCATATTTGCTTGGCCTTTCGACTGCAGAGAGAGATAGCGGGACCGTGTGCCTCACAGAAAATATAGGAGACGAGCGGAAGAATGCTACTGTAATGTGTGTGTGTGTGTGTTGTGTCCTTTGGAGGTAGAATGGGGTGGATGTTGGGGCGGAATTTCTTCTTTGTTTGGCTCTTTGCCAACACTATGACACTATGTGTCCTTTGTCGTGGTTGGCCCTTCTTTGCTTGTTCTCGATTTCTGCACTTGGACATCCCAATGCTGTGACAGGCACAGCCGCAGGACATCGACTCAGATGCCACAGACGCTGTAGTGACCTTGGGCTTGCATGTCAGCTGCCTTGTACATGAGAGTGATATTTGGAAATGTTGGTATGGTTTTGGACTTGTACTTCCACGGATTTGGCCCTTTGGAACAAAGCATTCACACTAAAGGCTCAACACACAACCGAGATATGTGATGCTGAACTCTTCAAATGCCAAAAATTCCAGAACTGATCCCAGGAAGGTTTTTGCAGCTGTCTCGGAGCCGAACTATGGAGTGCCATGGGTCTACAAAGCCCAAGATGCTCGCACTGGAACTGCCTTTGCAGTCTGGTGGGTCAAAGGCAGCCACTTATCTGTTTGACTATCGATGACTATCCTTTAGCCATACCTGGCCCATGTTTGCCCACTTGACAAGTTAAGTTTGACAGCTTGACAGTGCTTTCCAACCATGTGACGATATGTGACGTTCTTAAAGTGAGCGGAACTGACCGTGAGGCAACAGATGGTTGCTCACCAACGCGCACGTGGTTCGCCATGCGGCAGTGATTCAAGTGAGAAAAAGAGGTGACCACCAGAAGTTCATCGCAAAGGTTCTCTGTGTAGGTCTTGACTGCGACCTTGCCATCCTGTCCTTCGGCAGAAATGAAGAGAAAAGATGTAGAACCTGCAAAGATCTGCAAAGAGCACTTGGACTGGCGAAACATTTCACGTTTGATGGTTTGAATTGGTTCAATTTCTGAGTGGCTTAGGACCGTTGAGGACAAAAAGTTTTGGGAAGCTCTGCCGAGAGTGCACTTGATCCTCGGTCGAGAATAAGCCTTCCAAACCTTGGCCTGCTTTTGCCTTGCGCAGGTGTTGGTGTTGTGGTCTGGTTGCTACTCTAATCAATATATATATATATATAAGAATGTGTTTTATTTTAGTCATAGCGGATAGGTATTTTATCATCATTGTGCTTTCTATGATCACACCAAGGAGTGAAGAGCTACCAAATCTTCAAGACGAAGTGACCGTTGTGGGTTACCCCATTGGTGGCGATAATGCATGCGTCACAGTCGGTGTAGTCAGCAGAATTGACATGCAGCGGTACAACGTACCTTGTTTGCGCCATGCTTCACATAGAAACCATGCAAAACAATAATGTGGAGAGCCAACAACTCTCTTGAAGCGTGCACTTCGCATACCCAATAGCTGTTGAGAAATGATAAAGAAGTTTAGCATAATATGTTTGAATGGTGTGCTTGTAAGCATAGCCGCTAGCCTAGGACTAGCTTTACTCTCCATGGCTCTTTTGGCCTGAGGTAGCAAGGTTGATGCTTGAATATGTTGCCAGTCTTGCTGGAGATTTGCATAGGTTACCAGGTTGTCTTGCACCTTTGTTTTACCTGAAGCCCACTCTGAGGTTTGTTGGAGCAGAAGTTTGCTGGCCATCCAAATCGATGCTGCCATCAATCCAGGCAATTCGGGTGGTCCATGCTTCCACTCGACCTTTTCCTCGGAGTCATCGGAGTCATCCACCATGCAATGCATGGGCGTTGCCTTTCAAGTTCTTGGCCGCGAGGATGCGGAGAACATTGGCTACATCATCCCATCGGAGGCACCTCCCTGACATTTTTTTGAAAACAACTTGACTAACTTGACTAACTTGACCATAACGGATTAAAATATGATTAAAAATCAAAACGATTGAAAGATAAAAGAGATAAGAATGATAAGAGCAGGATTGAAAAAACACTTTGGACAGCAAGGTGGTGAAACATTTCTTGGTGGATTTCGTCACCAATGGGAAGTACACCGGCTTTGCCAGCTGCGGTTTTGCCTGGCAGTCCCTTGAAAATGCACAGAATCTTGGATTGATTTGGATTGATTTGGATTAATTTTCACATGAGGTAGATTGACGTAGCGTTTAGGTCAAATTGCTTGCCGGTGTCTTCAGATTTCAGGATGCGGGTAGCACTTGGCCTGAAAACTGGGCAGAGTGGCATCCGCGTCCGTAAAGTTGAACCTGCCTCTCCTGCCAGCAAGGCACCATGATGGTCGGACAGGAAATAACAAAACACAATTGAAAAACAATCATGATTCAACATGATATGGCCCCATATGATTCCTGACTGTTGCCTGGCAACTTGCCTTGTGCACCTGCCTACAAGCTATATAATTACTTAGTCTGACAATGCAAAAAGCAAATGTTTCTGTTTTGAAACCTTTTGTTGGACCGGTGATGGGTCGTGCAGGCATTTGAAGCTGGCGACATCATTCTTGAAGTACGGGGAGCAGAAATCGGAGATGATGGCAAAGTTCCATTCCGAGGCCGTGTCTTGCGGCCATGATTTCTGACCACATCAACATGGCCTCCACCAGGTTCTTTATAAATTGTTATAAATTAGGATGATTAGGATGTTTAGGCCTTGCTAGGGCTCAAACAGCGCAGTGTCGACTTGTGACTTTGGGCCATTTTGAGTGGCACTGTGCTGCAGCTTTTGAGGGGATCACTATCCATCGCTGGTATTGGCATAATCCATCGCTGATGGGGTTGACTGTTCAGCACGGTGAGGTACGAGAAACGAAAGAATTGACTTTCACTATTTGATCTCCAAGCTGTTTGTCGGAGATTCGTGTGATTTCACTGTCCTCCGTCGCAAGAGAAGGAGCCTTTCCCAAAAAGTCTTCGACAAAATGTGACTCCTCCTTTGCAACCTTGTGTTTTGGCTTCGTGGATTGTAGCTGCGATGGAAGTGATGCAAAGAATCCAACATACAACCTGAGAAAGTGGTCAGTCTTCACACAAGGAAATGAAAAATGGAAAAAATCCGGTGTGATGAACTGTGTTTTTTTCATTTTTTCCCTGTCCGCTCAGGAAGAAGCTGAAGTTGCAGCTGTCCGCTGTGCGTCCTTTGGTACGTCACGATGCCCCCGATCCACCGCAGTACTTCATTGTCGGCGGTTTGGTCTTCGTCCCTTTAACTGAGTCCCTTCTGATGGATGATTTTGGCGTCTCAGACTGAAAGAGACAGGAAGATATGATATCAACGACAATCCTCGTAAGGTACTTCTGCAATGGATGGACGTGCATTGACAGTTTCGTTTGCCGCAGTTTCAGTATATTAATTTCCTTCTTGGGCCCTCAGGAAGCAATTTCCATAAGGAAGCGCCAATCAGCATGATTTTGCAGTGGACGGATGGTATGCGAGACAGCGACGACCATGAGATCATTGTGCTTTCTCAAGTGCTCGCATCGCCTTCCACGGTTGGTTTCACGGATCTTTGCTTAAATTTAGCGGCTGTCATTCATTGATCTACCTGTTCATCCTCGGCAAGCCCCTATCAAAATCTATCAATACGTTGCGTTTCTTCCTTCTTTTGACGTTGTTTGGAGATAAGAAGTCCTTCCAGGTGTAGAGTGAAACTCTCAGGACTTTTACAATGTCATTCTTCACAAGTTCAACGGTGAGAGCGTCAAAAACTTGGAGCACTTGATACTGATGGTCAGAGCTTCCAAGGAGGGGAGGGAAGGAGAGGGAAGGAGCGGGAAGAACAGGCAAGCGAGGGAGGGGCAAGCGAGGTTGGCCAAGTTTAGATTCGGCTGGGCCTACCTACCGTGGCCCGTGCTCCCTCGAGGGCAGTGCTTTGTTGGCCTCTGCCCGTGGGCCCGTGGGCCGTGAGCAGACCTATCTCGCTCCCTCCGTGGGATCCCTTGAGTGCTAATTACTAATTAGCTAATTACTGTTTCTTCACCAGCCACAGCCACACAGGAGGAATATTTTGAGTTTGAGATTGAGCGCAACAACATTATCATTTTGCCTCGGAAGGAGGTGTTGAAACAAACACCTGCTATCCTCAAGGAGTGCGTGGGAGCTCGACACTTGTGACTGAGATACATCGGACCCGAATACCTTCATTGCCAGCATGTCAAATTGGAGCCATGCCGGTAAGAAACGTTGAGAAGCTGTATGAACCTGCAAAATGTGCACCATTGGGTGTCCATCCCATCCTACCCCAATCTCTGGCTGACTTATTCTTTCGAACCTGGCACATTGGCCGTGAGGAAAACATGATTTCGAAGGACCGTTCAGCACCTTGAACGCACATAGCGAAATAGTACAACATAGTGACATAGTGTTCAAACAGAAGTTGTAAGGCCAGCAGAGGTAACATGTGACACATAGAGTGTGCGAAGTGACATGACAAGTTGGGGTTGGACTGGTTGGACTGGCTGAGGTGCATTACCAACACCTTACGTGATGAGCGAGCGAAAACCATCAGTAGCAAAAAAAGAATATTTTTGCAGCGCAGATCTCTCCGCACAGACTTCCACACTTGGGTATTTGTGCTGAGCACGTCTCGAAGCGCCTCCAAGCGGCCAAGCGGTCCTGAGATTCAACGACGTCACCGAGTCATGCTGTTTTTTCCTGCCGCCGTGCCGCCTTCGTTTCTGAGGCTCCGCCGTCACAGTCCAATCTAGAGGATCGACGGCTCGAAAGCTGCTGGCCGGCACATAGCGGACTGCAGACCTGACATGTGACATAGCAGACCTAGCAGACCTAGCAGACCTAGCAGACCTTACCCGGGTTCAACATGGTTCAACTGGACTCAGTCGTGAAGTGTCGTCATGAGATGATTTCACCAAGGTGAAGGAACCAAAGACACAGTGGAGACGCTTGGAAACACATTGTCAAAGGGCAACTTTGAGGTTTGGAGATGCAGTTGCTGCAGTTGCTGCAGAATGCTTCAAAGTGAAGCAGCACATCATGAAAATCAGATGCCGTTCGTGCCAATTTGCACGTGACACTTAGTCACCAAGGAGGCGAGGATGTCAGCGCTTCATCCTTCTCCCTTCAGATCCAAAACGCACCTCAGAAGAATGATCACCACAACCTCCTGTTAGTGAGAGACTGCCTTTTCTGGATTGCAGACTGGTGAGACGGGTTGGATTCGCTGTTCCAGCTCGAATCTCTACAAGGAGATTAAGGAACAAACCTGGAAAATATATGAAATATCCCATAATCTCCCGCTAATCTACCTTTCTGCGCCGGCGGTATCCTGGTACGATGCAGGTATGATTTGGGACTTGACCGGAATGGCCTCTTGTCTTCATTTGTCTTCCATATAGCACATTGCATTCTGGCACAAATGTCATTGGCCATTGGCATTCATGATAGGGTCCGGCTCAGATTGGATATTTCAATGTTTTTATGTGACCAAGGTGCTCCTTGTTTACGAAGCTTGCTCGCATTTGGTTTTGAATCACTTGCTCTTTTTGGGGTCATGTTTTTCTGAAGCATTTCAACTTTCACATGAAGTGAAAATTGAAATTTTCATTGGTGTCCCTGACAACTCTCATGATATGAGCCGTTCGAGCCGTTCGCACAGCACAAAGGATATGATTGTCATCCCCATTTCTGCGTTCGAGCCAGAAGAGACAACGCCATGGGCCAAGTCTGAGAATTTTCTATGCGGCACAGTACCACAATGTACCACAATGTACCACATGCCTTTGCATGTTTTTTTTAGTGTTTTTATTCATTTTACTTGGGAGAACTTAATAGATTTAACAGGGAAGCGGGGAAGGTGCTACTTTGCTGATCTGAAGTTGTCAGCTAGAGATCAGAAGGCACAGAAGGCATCTCACAGCAGGGGCACTGTCGGAACCTCTGAGGTTCACTGCTCTTATGGAGTGGTTGACACAGATTTTCTGGACCTTTGATGTTGTTATGCCCGGATCCCTGACTCCATGAGACTCCTATGGCATTTGCCAGCGCACTCTGGAACTGACCTTCTACAAGCCTTCTAGCGCAGAATGCCAGAATATGCCAGAATGATCAGAATGCTTGCAGAATGCGCTAATAGCCGCTATGCCAGGTCACTTCTCACTGGCTATGTGCACAAAGGTCAGCTCGTGCCTGGAATGCAGACAGAAACTTGCAGGTGAAACTGCCTTTGTCCTTGCAATGTCCTTGTGTGGTGCAATGTCGCACCACCATGCACCACCCCACCCAGGTGATGTCACCTTGGGCTATATTGATCAACTATCTGTTTCTTGGAGAATTTCAATGGCACAACATATTATGGGCTGCATTTCTGCTTGAGCGTTTCAGCAACCTTTTTGAACTGAGGAAGACATGGTTCGTGCCGCTTTGACGCAACATGATGCGACACGCGACTGAGATGGGCGCTACAGCGGATGGGTCCAGTGATCTGCACTGCTCAGGCTAGATTTGGTTGTCGTGGGGCCAGATTGGTTGCTTGCCTTAATCGGCAGTTTGCAGACCCAACCGATGGAATCTATTCATGTGGGAAGCCAGAATTTGCCGGTGTATCACAGTTTATCCTGGCTAATCCTTGTCGGAATATCCAAATGGCGACCGTCGTATCTCAAAAGACGAACTCGTGCCATCGTGAAATCTACAACTTGCCATGAGTCTTGCCATTGGAGACGTTTGATGTCACCGAACCTGAGGGTAATGACATTCATTCAGCTCTCAGCTCCAAGCGATGAAGAAGGTGGGAGTTTTAAAAAAAAAATAGTTTTAGGAGTTTTGTGAGGCTGTTGTTATGTAACTGTTATGTGTTGTTTAAGATGGTTTAAGGATGTTTTGAAGATGTTTTGAGGTCGATCATTGTTCTGCCTGCCATTTGCACACCTCATGGGACTCGAAGGTGGCACCAGCGTCAGCCGCTTGATGCGAAGCATTCGAGTGGCAACTTAGCAGATCTTAGCAGATCAGCACTGGAGCCACTGGAGCCACATTTTTTCTGCCGCTGTTTGCATCACGCTCAAACACTTCACTACTTCACCTGAGGAAAGTGTGGAAAGTGTGGAAAGTGTAGTGTCATTGAGTCATGATCAAAAATGCATAGACTCCGTGCTGTAGTTTGGTCAAGGTCCGAACTGTGCGACTCCTTCGTCTCGCCACACGTCTTGAATCTTTTCGCCACATCCGCAGAGAAGATTCAGAAAGGCACAATTAGGTGCTTATGATGTATGCTTATGTCACAGTTTGACAAAGATTTGATCTTTATGTCATTTATGTCTTATAACTTATGTCTACTTAGTATACTTATGTCTTTTTGCACTTTTGCTATCTTTTGCTTATCAATTTTGGTGTGCCAGTTCTTGCATCTCAGACATGAGTTTATATCGGGACAGATCCGCTGTATCCATTCCTTGTTGACAAACCTAAGGTGAAACTAAAGCGGGTCATCGACATGGCCAAGGACAGGATTACCTCAGAGGCAGGAAATCATTATTGGCTCTCCGAGTAGTGGCTGTAGCTAGATTAAAAACCACTGATCATCACTGATCCATACTTATCCAAGTTTGTCTGCAGGGTGCAGTTAAAAGCATTCGAAGGCCTGACACGGAGAGCCTGGACATAACTTTTCTGCGCTGCAAAGGTGGTCTTCATTTTGCTGAACATCCTCAAGCTCATTGTTTTGCTGCTTGTGCGAATTACGTGAATTCCCTAAAGATCGGTTGTTTATTCATGGCCAAGCATTAAATGATGGAAGAGCAGCAAAGACCAGAGCACGTTCGTCTGGACTTGGCGCCTGTTAGACGGCAGTCATTTGACGCTCAGTCCACCGCAAACAAACCCTGCAACAAACTTCCGTCAGATTCCTTCGGAAGGCATTGTTGAGAATTCTTGTGTTCCAGGGTTTTTGCCTCCTTCCATCTTCTTTTTAAATGTTTGTGTACGTATGTGTATGCGTTCAGCCAGGGGTGTGAGAAGTTTGATAGCAGATTGAGCAGCCAAGGCTTTTGCTTGTGAATCACTTCGTAGCATCACTGTGGCAACATGTCCACAACAGAGGACCAGGGATGGGGTCTTTGGATGTTTTGTGCATGTTCTTCGATTTGTAAAGGCGGACAAGACAGACAAAGGCGATATACAAGGAGAGACGAGCTGACACAAAATACGAAGATACAAAATGATACCAGATGCATTAAAAAAAGAAAGCGAGACTATCAGCATTTTTTCCGCCTGGATGTTACACAATGCGTTCCAAGGTATTTGATGGGTGGCCTTGGCAATCCAGGCCAATTGAATTGGAGAGATGAATCTTGGCCAAGTTTGTTGCGGATGCCAGAGGCGCTCATGCTTAGACATGCTTAGACCCGATACATTTGGTTTTCCCAGGTCATTGAACGAGATTGAATGGGCATGATGGGCATGCAATGCATGTGGCAAACCATTGGCAGAGGAAGCCTGGCTGAGGTCTATAGAATGCAGCCTCAGCAAGAATCCATCGAGTATCGGTACGCCACTGCCCTGCACTGGAGCCTAACCCAGTTCACTCCAGCAACCGTGTCCCGGCTCGACTTCAATTGATCACGTTGCTCCTTTAGCAGAGCATACTTGGGAAATCAAGGACCATCAGTGACCTTTTGCTGAAGCGACCTCGCATTTCCACTGTCCTTTTTTGATCTCTCCAAACGCAAGCATACTTGAGAAATTTTGAAACCGAAAGATACCCATGCGAAAGGTTGATGTGCATCCGCAGAACATGGTGGAGCGTACTTTTGCTATTCTTGTGCTGATTTTTGGCCTCGTGCTATTTTCGTCCCACGCCCAGTTTACACACAGAATGGCCGGAACTTTTGCTGCGTGAGTGTATTCAAGAGAGCTCTTCACGATAGTTGCACATTCACAGAGTGGTCAGGTCATTCGTCAGTTCAATCACAGCTTCAATGACTCAGCTCCGGAATATGCAGGACCTGCTTGACCTCCATTTCCTGTCAGAAGTGTCAGAAGACACCATGAAAACGTAGACATCGGATGACATCGGTGCATCACACTGTCGGACACACCATCCTCAGCGAATGAAACCTGCAGGAAGATAGATCCAAACAGTTCTGGTTGCTGAGACGTCTCTTGGCAATGTAGGATTTTTTCTGACCTTGGGAGATTTGGAGATGGGCAATGGGAATAAGATGAATCTCAATATATCTCAATAATGACGTGTAGCAATAAAACCTCAGTAGTTGAGGGACCAACTCGTATCAGCATTTTCTGAACTGTCAGCTCCAAGGATATTTGCTGCAGAAGAAAGTTCCCCAAGAGTTGAACTTCAAGGTGCAGTGCCAGTGCAGCATCCTGCAGCCAGTTGCAGAATGTTGGAAACGTTTGAAAGTTCATCGGATCGTGTTGCCGAGTCTGCCGAGTTGTCCTCAGGTTCTGCGATACACGGAGTATGCCACCAGCCGTTCTGGAGAAGCAATCCCAGCAGCTTGATCGAGTCGAGTCAATCAAGTTTGCAGAGCATGTAGAGATATGTAGAGTAGGGCTGAGTAGGGTTTGGTTCGGTTTGGTACGTTGAGCTCGGTGTGCCCGTGACTGTAAGGAGCATCGCATCACAATTCTCAACGTGTTGACAAAGCAATTGCAAAGCGAACTGCGTTTTGTTACGCATTTTGGAGCCTTGGCCAACGTTTTAAGAGGTTGGGTCTAGAGGCTCGCTGCGTAGAAATTGAGACGAGATCAGATGAATTTTGACATCCCTTCTTTGGCTCACTGGCCTCCAGCATTGTAGCTCTTTTCCATTCTTTTCCATGTGTTTGTGCATGTGTGTACGTGTCTATGTTTGGCTTTTCCCCAAAATTGGCTTTGATCAAGACGCATGAAATCCTGTGGATAATTATGCAGCTATGCATGTCCTTTCCAAGAGCAGCACTTTGAAAACTCCTTAGGATGCGTCAAGCAGCATGGCTTTTTCAAGCTGGTTTCTGTCATGAACGAATCCGTGCTGCACATGATGCATCCTGGCTGAAACCGCAACGGAACGGCGTTATTAAAGTAACACATATGTAACACATTAACGTCACATTAACGGATCATTAACGTGCTGAATGCTTGTGCTTTGTCATGTCGAAATCTTCCAGAGCCGTGCCAAGGTCTGGTGGTAAAGCCTTGCATTTCAAAGCTCTTGCTGCACAAGACCCGCTTTTTGAGATTGCGCGGCACTGAAGCACTTCAAATCTGCCATGCTGAAGCACTGAAATGCACTGAAGCACTGAAGCACTGCAACTTCAATGTTCATTTGTTCATGTTTTACGCTGCCAGAGTAGCATTTGTGTATGTGATGCTGTCAACAAAGCCGTGCTCAGATGGATTTGCCAACTTGCATGTCTCTTGGCTGCGCTATCCCTGCCTGCCCTGTAACCTTCGATGCTTTGAGGGGACATGTGCTTTCCACCCGCCCCGGGTGATTTGCTAAATCTATGCAAACTATTGCAAACTACAAATGGTGTGCCTAACTGTGCTCAGTGTGCTGCAAAGGCGGCGCTGTCAGGAAGTCCTTCTTTCTTCGATTCGTTCTTTTTTGGCTCTGGGAGTGTGATAAGCTGCTGCCAGATGTTTTTTTCTCACATGGACACTTACAACCTTGAGGTACTTCGTCGAACAAGGACAGGTCCAGTACACACAGGCTGGGCAGTAAGCTTCCACAGACTGGTTCATTCCAATGTTAATCAGTACGGAACTGTCATGCAGCTAGCATAGCAGGTGATGTCACTCTGCGATTGACTTTGCTGCTTGTGTTTTTTGCATTTTTGGCATTCTGTGGAGGTTGAGTCTGGCACATGACATGAAAGCAATTAGAAAAGCATATAGATTTTTTGAGATCTGCACACTGGACTGGGGTGCAGGGACACAGTGGTCTTCAAACTGGTGTGGATGCCCAGCTGCTGGTCAGCTGGACACAGAAAATTAGAAAAAAATAGATCCTGCCACAAGCTCGACCTGATTAAAGGATGAAAGCTGACAATGGACAACTAATGCTGAAAGAAAGTTAAGAAAGTTTTGGACTTCCCCAGTGGTTTCTTCCATTTGTATGATTGATTCATCGGAATGTCTTGCAAAGATTGCCACGACATCTCTTGGATGTCACCAAGGCACGTTCGCTCCGTGCCTAGGCTGCATGGAACATGCTTTCACAGGGTCCCAAGAAAAAGTGAAAAAACTCATCGCATCATTGTCCTTTCGACTTCTAATTACTATTCAAATCATTTCAAATCCAGTAAGGCGATTGCAAGGTGTATGGATTTGTGCATTTTGTGCGGCTGAGGTCCAGCTTCGAGTCTGAAAACTTCGTTCCACCAGATCCGGCCTCAGTCTGTGACTGTTCCATGGATTCGATTCCACAAATCACACAACCGCACCAGTTCAAACATGTTGAAAGAAGTTCAGTTTGAAGTTCAAGCAGCAGCTGCAGCGCAAGTGTTTTTTTTTGTGTTTTTTCAGTTGCGAGGACTTACTCATGCCGACTACTCCAACAGAAGGCGGTATTGCTTGGAGCTTAGAGATCAGATCAACAAAGCAAGGGCAGAAAAGCTCAACGAGAGATCAGCGGAAGTCTGTCAAATCTGTCAACATGTCCATTGGTTCGCACTCAAAACATTCTGCAGGCCATCGGAAAAGGTGATCATTTGTGTCAAGACCTCAATTTGGCAATTCCTGCTTTTCCTGCTTGGCTTTCATGAATGACACAAATGACAGAACTTTGCGCCCTTGCATCTCGTGGCAGTCTCTCGTGAAATCGAAATGTTCCAAGGTGAGATCGTGCTTTGGGCAAACTGGAAGCATGTGGGCTCTGCCAGAGCCATTTATGAGCAGCTCAGATAGCATGTTCACGAGTTTTGGGTTGAAAAGCTTGACAACGAATGCGTCATTGGGGGAATCCGAGAGGAATCGGAGAGGAATCTGAGCTCAGGTCCAACATCGTCCAAGTGAACGCCAAAGGCTTTGGCGAATGCATCCGAAGAGCTCCTCGGTTTGCAGCGACATTGCACTTTTGATCGTTGTGATCATTGATGATCATTGTCAATAGACTGTCAATATCGGTCACTTTGGGTTTTGTTTTTGATGTGATTGTTTTCTCAGGGTAGCCCAGAAGTTGTCCACAAGAGTAGCATTTGAGCTTTTGAGGATCCTGCCATTGACTCCATGGCTGCTATGTATGCTCGAATGTGGCTTGGATGCTGTACGCAGCAAAGGTCAGCAAAGGTCACCATCGCGTGCAAACAGAGAATAGATCGCTCCCGGGGTATTCACTTGGTTTCTGAACTTGTCGTGTCTTTGTCATGAATGACTGTCTCACCTTTTCCATCCTTTTCGCAGCTTTCCCAAATCTCACACGGTTCAATCCAACATGTTGTACTATGTTGGGATAACACACCCTGGTGGGCACGGTGGAACCATGATACGCTCCAAAGCTTCCCCGGAATTTCACAATGAGCCACAGCATGCCACAGCATGTCGCAGCTGGGATTTGGTGCCCAGGTTCGTAAAGGTGGTGAATGATCCGGACAGAATTTTGGATGAAGAACAGGCGCGACATTGCGACAGTGCGACAATGCAACAGCCTGTATACACACTACATAAAGTACGGCAGTTACAGAATCCGCAGAAACTGATTTCCAAGAGAAAGTATTGGGACCATGCATCAATGATGCATCGATGTTGGCTCCCATGGCCTTCCTAATTTGATCAGTTCCCTGCAGGAGATTTGCAACGACCAAACCACGGCTTTAGCAGTTGCTTTGCTGCAAACCACAACCATGCTGAGCTTTCGTTCATTTCCACAATCATTGTACGTTTTGCCATTTCCTGCATCCAAGGATTCTTTGAGTCGCTTGGCCCAGAAAGCTGATAGTCTCAAAATCCTCAAGTTGAAGAGTTTTCCGCATGTTCGTTTTCCTGGCTCCTCACTTACGATCAAAGCTTTCAGTTGGATACTGGGATACTCCAACAATCTGCAAAGCTCAGGCGAGTACAGCCCTGATACGGAAAATTTGAACCCGAAGAACTTCATGTCTCGTATCCTGGAAGCATCTGGAAGCAAAGGGATTCCATGCAATAATATCGGATAACAGAGTCGCGAGGCAGAGTGCACTGCTGCGTTTTCCGATGCTGTCGGTTCTCATAAAGGTTTGTCGTTTTTGTTTGTCGTTTTTTTCTCTCTGCATATGCATGATCTGCCACTTCAAGGCATTGTGGCACTCGCAAAGCGGAGAGATCGTACGATAACGTCGTGACAGACGCACCGTACCACTGTCGCCACTGTACCTCATCAGAAGCTGCTGAAGACTCCACATGAGCATCGAACCGGCAAATCTGGACATCTGAAAGAAATTAATTTTGATGGCAACCACGTGCAACCACCTAAAGTGCACGTCAAGATACATTGAGATATATTGAGGGAAACAACTCTTGGTGGACACTAGCAGTCGTATTCTTCGCTTTGACGGTTTTCAGCATCCGACGTCGTGTTCTTGTGGTTGTTCAGCATGCAGCTCCGGCTGACACAAAGTCTTTGCTGTTTGCCAGGGGGTTAAGGAATTCAGCCGGTGGGCTGTATAGTTTTCATCGAGCTTGAACATAATTCAATGGAAAGTTTCTCCTTTTGTTTGAGTTGGCCCGAGTTCAGGTCCCATCTACATCTTCTGCGTTGACAAGATGATCTGATGCATTTTTTGAGACACTTGTGCCTTCTGTTCTGGAGAGCGCCAGTTGAAATTTGCTTCATTGTTATGGCGTCCTCCAACGCGTAAAACTACAACAGCTAAAAGTCCCTCGGTCGAGAGAGAGGCCACTTCTCTGGGCATTTCGAAGGATGGTTTCCAAATATGCAACAAAAAGTGCCTGAGCACGGGCTGAAAGCACCCAGAGAGCTTGGCTTTTCAAATTCGCAAAATTCACTTGTCTCACAGCTTTTTCCAGTTTTGCAGAACAGGGTCGACACCTAGCTTTGTCGCTTCCCGATTCACCCTGTTCTTCCAATCGGCATGGCATCAAAGTTCAACGAGAAACTGCAGCTGCAGACATCATACCATCTAATTAGATCATTCTCTGTCGTACCAGACAGTTTATACCATCTATAATTACCATCTATACTATACCGTCACTTCGCCCCGCGATCTAGGGCCTCATGCTAGCCTACCTATGTTTGTCAAAACGGTTTACGTTACATGAACATGCCGTGCGAGAAAGGATATAGTCGAGTTCTGGTTGGTTTAACTCGTTTGCCAAAGGCAAGACATCCCCAGACGAATTGCAAGCAAGCCGTATGATATGTGTTCAATCCAAAGTCCTAGCATACTTTCTCCAGTGAGATGATGTGATGTCATGTCTTCATGTGTCTTCATAATTTCAGTTGATTTTGCGAAAATGTGTGACCTTTGCGCCTCGGTTTGCTGCTCTTGCTTCGGCGGACTCAAGCTCGGCATGCTCGGCATGCTCCGCGGCGGGCCCAACTTGGCCTGGTGACTGTGTGATTCGATTAGCTGCTCCAGAGATCCAGAGACAGATCTCGGAGCTTTTCACTGCAAAAAAGGATCCAAATCGCCTGCCGTAAACTCCGTAAACTGCCATATTTAACAACTGAAGGTTAACCGGTTAACCCAACAATTTCTCTACAGATTGGAGGAGGCAATACGACCCCCACATATCTTCATCATCTGCAACGCTCAGGCGAGCTCGAGGGCCACACTTGGACAAGGCAAGTTGCCTCCATATTGTCGATATCCGGGCATATCTAGGGAGGATAGAGACGTGATGTATGAACTGTATGAATATGTACGATTCGTACGATATGCTTTGATTGTCCTTTCGGAATTGCCGTGCCTTCTTGATGCGAGAGGTGATGGACGAAGTGCAAAAGCGATTGCTCACAGCCCAGAAACCTGTTGTCATTGACTCATTCCTTTGTAGTTAGTAGAATTACGCCAGCTCAATCTTGAAACAATATTTACAATACTACGGATGCACTACAGTACTACACGGATCTACACGGTATTGGGATGTTGATGGGCCAAGGACTGAGTTCACCTGTGTCGATTTGGCCTTGACTGCTTGGTCCATCGCCACCATGAGAATGGACCCTCCAGGCCGGGCACATTGGACACACGAGACGATGCGTGCACACGCGTGCACGATGCCAAGTCTGAAAGTACGCTGAAAGTCGGAGTTTGTCAAGCCCTCTCCCGGCGAAGATCGTGAGCCGTTTCCCATCCAAAAGGGAACAAGAGTCAACAAACAGGAATCTTTTTAGGCCTCACATGTTGGCCGATAGCTGATATACTTGGCAACCCGGTGAGGTCTCTATGACCGCATCAGCAAGTTGTCTTTATCCAGCATTGCACCTTGGCAGAATTATTTTGCAGTACCTTGATCATGGTTCATTCGGAGCGAAGAATTCATCGGATATTTGCAAGAGATCTTATTCTTCCCAATAGGGTGTCATCTTGCACGAGGCCGAATTCCAGCCACAGGCTTGATTCTCAGACATACAGGCTGCGCTGCAGACTTAGAGGAATGCTTGCGAATGAGGCTTTGGCCAACATCATGTGGGCCACTGCAACGCTGAGAAAGGAGAACGTTCCTTGGCTTGCATTTTTTACATATTTTTTTTGACATCAGCACTCTATCCGTGAATTGATTCACATAGATCTCGGAGAATTCCACGATGTTCTCTGAAATCAAGGATGCTTTGATCCGTCATGCCGCCTTTACCGCAGTCAGAGCCTCAAGACTCCTCCGCGAAACGGTCGAAGCATTGAGTCATTGCGCTGTGAGGCAAAGCTTCTGGATGCCGGGTGCGATTTTCGGCCTCACGAGTATTCCACGATGGTGTGCCTCGACTGTCTGAATCAGTCTGAATCATGAAATGCCTGACGAACAGTGGTGAAATATCGTGAAATATCATGAAGGCGAGCAGGTGTAGCAGATGCAACGGGAGCTCGTTGCACACGAAGTCATACGATTTCTGCATATTTCTGCTACTTCTGCTACTTGAGGTGGTCCATGGTGATTACTCAAGCTCGAGAAGAGTGTCTTTTCAGTCGAGTGTCAGGCACTGGCCGCTGCTTGTCGTGGTCCTGGGCTACCTCTGGGCTACCTGTGTTCCATGTGCTATATGTGCTTCAGCGTCGTGACTGTGACATGTCCTTGGGAGGAATCAAAGGATTATGAAGGAGTTCTTTTTTTCCATCCCGCTGTTCAACTTCCCCTATGTCCAATCCTCGCTTGTCCACATCGTCCTGGCCTCCTTGTCAAGATCATTGCGATTGTCATGGGCACTTAGTCGTCAGCACGGCAGCTTATCGTCGCAAGCATCTCCTCTTCCGTGAGCCCAATCATCGTCGTCGTCGCATCAGCATCATCATCATCATCATCATCATCATCAATTGGTTCATCATATTCATCATTTCATCAGGTTCATCTTTGAAAGTGTAGCTATCAATCCTCCGCTGTGAAATCTGATAAAATATTTGAAGAAAAATGTCTAATGTGTTTCCTTGTTGAATTATCATTTGCATCCATGGTCATCACCATCATTGTCCACTCATGATTGTGATGACATTTCTTTTGGGATCTGACATTTTTTTCATTTCTCTTCATCCTTTCCACTTTCTGTTCACTGCCTCGCTCATGTGTGAACAACTGTGTCAGGCACAGGCCATGCGAATCTAAATAGCTCTAGTCAAGGTGCAGGTAGCTTTGGGGCATAAATCTCAATATTAGCCAGAAGAGTGCGCTACGTTTTCTATATTTTTCTATAGTTAATCGAAGATTTCAGCACGTGGTTTGTTTGCAGGACATGTGATTCACCGTGTCTCGGAGTTTGGTCCACAGGATGCTGGTGCCGTGCTGTCGCGCCGATCTTTGGTATTCTTTGGTGCTTAGATTGCACTGCAACCCACACACCGTAGGAGCTGACAAACACTGCTTGGGCCTTTGCTTCTTTGGGCATCAGAACGGAGGCCACAGCCCGAGTGTCACAACCCAGTCATGTCAAGTCATGTTTGTATTTTGGTTCCGTTGTAGTGCCTTGCCCTTTCTCCCTTTTTCTTTCAGTCCTCTTATGATCCTTTTTCGTATCCTTTTTCCCCCTTTGGCAGGGCCTATTTGAAGCGTTGGGCAAAGAATGCACCTTGGTTGACACCAATATGACTCGACAACTCGACATGACTTGACGAATCTCACAGATTCCGATGAGGTCATCAGAAACTACGCCACTTCAACATGATCCTATGCTGCAGATAGCAGTTGTTTGGTCCGTTGAACACATTAGATTGGCTGAACTCCATGTGGTTTGATGATGTTTGATGAGATGTCTTGATGACTTGGTGATACGTTGTAAGATGTAAGGCAGAACTTGACCAACGTGGCTTGGGCATATTCGCACTTGGGCATTGATGGAGTTGGTGGTGACCTTCTGACAGACGTGGCGCGAATCGCAAAGTCTCGAATTGACGAGATGAGCGCTGGCTGCACAATGACGGTCCAATATTTCAAGCGGATCAGAAATCTTGCACGAGACATTTCAACGGTATAAGGAATGTTCAAGATCTTGCTCAACTGGCCTGGCCTCAAAGTTGCTTATGGCCGGCTGCAGTTACGCATAGTATCTCCATCTCGGGGAAGGATTCACACAATCTCGCTACGGGTTGTCCTTTCTTTTGTTCCAGCCCATTGTGGTTGATCTATCAGGCCATTCTTCAGCTGTGCAGGTCCACCTTGACTCCGGTTCTTTCGGTTTCCTGAAGCTGTGTTGGAGCGCTGCGACCAAGGCCTTGACGCTGGTGTTCACACGCAGAGCCAATTATGGTCTCAAGGCACTGCCTGCCGATAGCCGAGCCACCGGACAATCTTGGACCTTTGGACCTAAACACTGGGCTATTGAATTATTGGCAATATTGGATGAAAACAAAACATATCAAAACTATTCAAAACTAAACCTAATCGAACCACTTTACGGCAGAGCCAGGAGCGCCAAGACTGGGATGAAGCAGGCATGCTTGGCAACCGAGATCTCACAGTGGCTTTAGTGATCGAGGCGCACGCTGGACACTGGACCTAAGACCAAACTTGCGACGCATTCGAAATGAGGATTTCTTCTGCCCAAGCTCTGGGCGCTACATTCTTTCTAAATTTTCTAAATTCAAAATGTTTCAAACAGCCTGATGAACGAGTCATGCTGCGGTCGCCACGAACACAGTGCAGGTCACTAGGGCCATGGTCTCCAAGATCCAACAGGTTGGTCAGACGAGCTTCGGCTGCGCCCGTGCGCAGTCTTCCCCCGTGTCCAGTTTTCTCCGATTTTTTTTGCAGAGCATTTTGGGAGATCATTGATGATCATTGTTCATATTGTTAATTGTTGACACATGTTGACACACACCAAGGACACCAGATGATGCCTGGATTGTCCACGATTTGGTCCTTGTCTGGATGGAGGCAACCACCTGGCGAGAGGGTAAATTTCTAGTTCTGTCGCATCCCTGTGCTTCTCTTTGACCTGGGAGCAAATTCCAAGAGGGAGACAAACAGTGATAAAGTGGAAACGGGCAGAGATTGTCCACAATTGCTGAAAAGCCGAAGCCAAACTCTCCAGTGAGATTTCATACTTTTTCAAAGGCATCAAAGCTTATCAAAGCTTTATACTGTTCTCGTCACATGCTAGTTGACGTGCATCTTTTGCACGCCAACTTTGAGGAGCATGAGGCTGAGAAGCAGCTTGGAGATGCCTGGCGGGTGCTTGATGCGTGCAGAGCTGAATGGGCTTAATGCATCCGACCGGGAAGAGAAACTTCCAGTGGTGAAAGCATTTGAAATTGTATTTAGAAATCACATTGGAAGCAAAGGCCGGCAAAAAAATGGAGCCAATGGAAATTCATTTGCCAAACAGCCACAGCCAAGCTGTTTAAAGTTGCAGAATCGTGGTAGAGGCTCATGGCCCTCATGGCTACATAAGCTCGGTTTGCAGGACAACGTTCATGTGGTCTTTTCAAAATCTTTCACTGGTCTGAAGATGTCTGAAGAGTCTTGTCGTTTTCTTTTCCTTGGCTGTTCGGCTGCAAAGCTGTCGGTTGTGGCCGAGGTACATGGACAGCCTGGCCCCCAGTTCCCATTTTGAAAGTCAGGGCAGCTGAGAGCAGCTGAGTCCTTAGCATGGCTTCAGAGGCCCATCACGCCGCGCCTGTTTCGTAAGGTTTGTACCACCAGGTCTTAGACTTTCTCCGCATGACGCCTCTGCTGGCTCGGGAGCAGAACTCAGCATCCTTTGGACTCTGAACGGCTCTGACAGTCCTCGATTTCTTTATGGAGCAGGTGGTATCTTGGACTGAGGCAATGGCATGTGGTTCGGTCGTGCAATCGGCGCACGTTCCGATCTACGAACAGCTACCTGGCAGTTTGAATGGGGGGTTGTGAGTCAGAATGACTGACATGTGGAATATTCATGGTGGTGTGTGTGTGTGTTGATTTATCTTGCTTGATGAGGCTTGATGTTCCTCTGTCTGTTCTTGTCCAAGGTCGTTTCGTGACCTTGACATCAGGCGATGAAATCTGGTGCAGCTTTTTGAAGTGAGGGAGATGCTTAATGATGCTTATCAAATACTTGGACATGTTGAATCTCTGGGTTTGGCAATGCCTGAACCGCAGATCCCTTGGCATTAAGTACACGGGCCGCTTGCTGGCAGAGCTGAACTTGACTGATAGGCCCGGTTGAGTCACAGGTAAGTCCACAGAGTTTTTGCGAATTGTATTATGTTGAAATGAATTGTTTCATGTCGGTTTGGGGGTGCGTTGCAGGGATCGCGACCTGGCAGAGTCTGCTCGGCAGCTCTTGGCAGAGGAGCGAGCGCAGCTTCTACTGCAGGAGAGCGGGTGCATGTTGCACAGAATTTAACTTCTCAATAATTTCAAAATGTCAACCTGTTTTTTTTGAATCTGAATTGTTTGATTCTCTTCAGTATCGTTGCTATTTAGACATTCAAAGAGCCTGAGACAGCTCAAAAGATACCAACAGTTGTCGGCGCATTTGGATGCCGTTGCCATTGCATCTGGAGGATCCTGGAGCAGGCAGTCAGAACTGGTGCCTCTTTAGTATCTCGACTCCCAGGGTTTGCCACAAGCTAACTCTATGAGGTCTTCCCTTCACGATGCATCTCTAAGGATTCCATCTTCAGTCCGAATTGAGAGAAGCACAGGAGATTGACAAGATCTGACATGTAACATGTTAGTTTGCTCCGGTCTTGTTGTTTCAAAGACGCTGATTTATTCCAATGCATGTTCTGTCATTTGTTGTTGAGCGGAGCCATGTTCTGCTTGTGTGCGAAGGAGCTGGATGGCATCCGCGTCAGGAGTGGAAATCCAGCAGAGAATGTAGAAGTAAATATGTCAACCTTTCCTGCCGGAAAAGAGATGAAGATGCAGAAAGATGAGAAAGGAGTTGCGGTGGTGATCCACTTGCTTTGGAACTTCTTGATCCTCCCCGAGAGGTGCGATGTAAACATTTTCGCGTCAAGTTCAAGCGGAAACGGTGTGTGACGTTGCAAGGCACATTTGGTGGCTGTTCGTTTGAGCAATGATCGATTGAATCACCGGCGAAGAGATGCCGAGTTTCGAGCGCCAAAGCCTAAATGTGTGATGTCGCCGTCACACCTGTGCCACATGCGGAAGCCAGAGTTCCACAGAGTTCCACAGAGTTCCACATGTCATGTTCTTTCCCAGACGACGCCACCAGCGTTTGGAACCAAAATGTTAGGATTGCGCACATTGCGGGTGTGCTGCGAAGCCTCATCCCGGATGCTGATCAACTGATGCAGGCTAAGATTTCAACAGATTCTGATTCAGTAAATTCAGTATGATCAAATGATCAAATCAATTCAGTACCGTTTTTGATTTGCAAGAATCCTAGTGCATGAAGACAATTCTCTCGTAGAGCATCCCTGAATAAAGCAAAGAGTGGTGCAAAGAGTTCATCTCTCGCCCTAAATTTGTGTTTCACTACAGATTCGTGCCAGGAACGCACTGTTTGGGGCAACCGTTTGAGCGGTTGGGTTCACCTGTGCTTGCCTTGGAGAATATTGTATGTTCTAATTATCAGATGCAGATTTGGGCAATCTGCAGCTTGCAAGGTCATAGAATTATTCAGAAGACTGTTTAGCTAAGTCTGTGTGAATAACTGTTTCTTTCCATTTTTCAACTTAATGATTCTTCGTGTCTTTTTCTATTTTTCGATCTGCATTCATGTTATTTTACTTTCACTCATATGGCACCCGAGAGTTAGTTGTTGCATGTCTTGTCACCGTGAAATTGGATGCAAGTTGATCCAGGTATGTCACGGAGGTGCCGTGCCTCTCCTGCCTTGGAGCCATGGTGCAGCTTCTTGTCGGAAAGAAATTGACATTTTCATATATTCAAGTATATATATTATATTATATATATATATATTTAATATATCATATGAATCATATGTATTGTGTGAAGATTGGCAATGGAAAAATGTTCTTTTTAGCCATGTCCATTTGGTAGCCGGTGTTGCATTGGGAGCTGTTTCTTCAGGTTTGCTCGTCGCTTTCCACGAGTGCAGTTGCGAGTTGCCTACCCTGGCAGCGAACATGGAACGGACTCGGAAAAAGGCCTTCTAAATTGCCACCATCTTCTACAGAGGGCCCCACCATAAGGCTCTCAAAGGAAAATTCAGGGGAACATAATGCCGCATATTGCTAGAAGAAAAGAAAGAGAGTGGGACGCCACCAGGTCGCCAAAAATACGTGGTTTTAAGCGTTTTTTTGACTATTTTATGCTTCTTTTTCCTCTTTTGATCATATATGAAAGATCAAAGTTCTTGGGAGATGTACTGTTTTTGGTTTGTTAATCCTGAGCTCTATTCTTGGTTGCTTGCTTTTTGTAGCTCTATTGTTTTTTGATAGGTGGTCTTAGTGCATGAATGGCAAAGTTCTTTGCCCAACAACATCTTGAAACATAGAGATTCATTGTGTCAGTTGGTACTTCATGTATATATTAATGTATAGGTACTACCTAGGTATACAGCTATTGCAAAGACAGTATATATATATACATATACATAGCACTTTGTATTTGCATTGGTGGTTTTTGATATTGGATTGCCAGGTCGCCTTTTGGTTGACATCAAAGCTCCAGTGGAACTCTTTTAGCAAATGAAAGTGCAAATTCCAATCTACTCTCCCTCCTCAAGTAGTTGCATTTTTTTTTGGCATACTTCATGGTAACTTGCTGCATCAATGCACAAGCAAGGCAGCCATTCTATAGATACAGTTGCTGGGTAAGGTTGCTTAAGTGTTTCCTTTACTTGGTCTTGTGCCCTTCTGGTTACCATGATGAACTTATACTGACATAGTTTAAGTTTTGCCCACAGCCATGAGCACATTTATGGTAATAAAATGTCTGCCGTTATATTTGCAGTGACACAGCAAATTACCATGGAATATGCAGGTAAAAACGCCTTTTCTGAAGCAAGGGGGAAATGGAAGTGCTTCTGGAATTTGCCAACTCTTGTGACCAATCGATATTTTAAGCAAAGATCTTTTACTGCATTGAAACCTGGAAGAATACCATTGCATATGCACAAAAAATGTAGAAAACTTGTTTCTGTAAGGGCATAGGTGGCTTATATGCCACCCATTCCATAACTGTATGTACTATATAAGAAAAATGTATATATAAAATAGTTGCATTCTAAGTGCAAATGCAGCTTGGATGTGTTGACACAGCAAATGGCTATGGTATCTGCAAAAAAAAATATTGCTTTTATCACAAAATACCCTCTAGATATCAGTGCATGCTCGAAGCTGCCATTTCTACTGTATATATACTGATACTGCACACTTGTGACAATGCGCTTGCATACTGGTTGAAATCATCCACCCACTAAAGCACAAACAACCCCTGAAACTTTTCATACAGTTTATAGATCAAAGAATTAAGAACAAGAGTGAGTATTGATCAAAAGGATGGAGAAGGGACCCCTTTCCATATGAATGCATTCTGGGAGCCGCTACTTCCTAGTCCAATGTGTTGTGTCATAGCTGTTTTCTGTCAAGTTTTATAAACAGTCTTACCTCTTTTTAGGTGCTACTCATCCTGCCATAAAAGATCATAAAAGCACAGCCAAGCAATTATGGTAACAGGGTACCTGGATTAGATATCCAGTGGCATAGCAAATTACTGTGAAATATGCAGGAAAAACATATTTTTGGAGAAAGGGTAAGTTGGAGCTGCCCTTACCATGTGCCAACTCTTGCGAGCAAAGTCAGTTGCAACCAAAGAGTCTTTATTGCAGTCAATCCTGGAAGAATTCCATTACATATGCAAAGTACATGTGGAAAATGTGTGTACGTATTGCTATGCGCTCCTTATGTAGCATCCATATATAGATGCATACAGTAGTACTACTACAAGGAAAATGCAAGTCCATCAATGTATATAGGAGGGCTATATATATATATGGGAGGGCTAGGAGAGGGGGGAAGCTCATTTAAAAAAATGGCTCCCTTTCCTTGGCCACCTCTCCCCTAAGGTATACTCACACTATGTTGGTTTTTCCTCCTTCCTTTTCCCTGGGAATCTTCATGACTCTCTGGACATTCTTTGGCAACCTTTGGCAACCCCTGAGGAAGTCTGACAATCTGTGTGGATCTCTAGCAATACCATCACAGGTATATGAACATAAATGATCGAACATGATGTAGCAGAAACACCGCATTCCCAGAAACGTGGAAAAATGGGGGACCTGACAGCGTCCTTTTCTGAAAAGAAAATTACGCCAGCATAGGCCCCAGACTCAGATAGCAAAATATATTTTCGGTGGCAACATGTGGCCACCAAGCGCTCGCCTTTTTTGCCACAGCATAAACGCCCATCAGGGCCCAACGCCCCCACTGCCATGGAAATCTCGCAGCCACCCCGTGCAACGCCAGCACCCAAGCCTCATAGCGCACACCACTCTGACAGCAGTATCCTGTAGCACCCAAGTTCCTAAGATGCACCTGCTTATACCCTGCACCTGCTCTAACAGCAGCCTGAAGCAGCACTTTGCAGCGGCACCCTGCAGCGGCACCAGCACGCTAGCTCCAAATCGCACACATCACTCTAACCCAGCTCCAAAGCGCACGCGCCACTCGAACAGCAGCACCCTGCAGCCACTCTGACAGCACCCTGCAGCACCCTGCACCAGCAGCAGGAAGCCACCTCCAAAAGCAGCAACATCCTGCAGCGGCACCGGTAGGCCAGCTCCAAAGCGCACATATCCAACTCATTTTATATTTGAAGCAATAACCCCAATAGTTTCGCTATTTGGGGAACAAGATGGATGTTTTTTTTCCAGCCCGACACTTACACATGAGTCGTCCCTTCGTTACACTATGCTCTATATTTTGCTTCGGGCTTGATGCTTACATAGGTAATTTGGAAACAGCAATTTTATTGGTAAGTTTTTGTTCGTGTCCAGCAACTCTTTTCGGAAGGCTTTGGGTTGGAGTTTGCTTGCCCTTTGAGTTCACAAACTTCAATTTCAGCGAGGAAGTTTGGATAAAACGATAAAACGTTACAAGTAGAGGCCGGACAGCCGGACAGGCTAGGGGTCAGAAGTTCCACAGAAGTTCCAAAAGGATTAACAAAGGCTGAGCCACAGAGTATGCGCCAGTCTTCGTATTTGGATGTATTTGGTATGAATGATTGGTTGATGTCCTCAATATGTCCGGCGGAATGAGGGGAAGCCATTCTTACACACATTTGCCCGTGAAATAGCATTATTCAGTTTGATTTGCTACCGCGGCAACGAACTATTAACATATTCATGCTGTCAGATTCTTGGCACTGCGTACATCGCAATGTTATCAGCAAAACAATGAAGCCATGAAGCTAACAACCTCTAGCCGGCATGGATGCACGGAGAAATACCAGTAGTACCGCACAAGGCGGTGGCGGAAGTTTCAAAGGTAGGACATTATAAGAGAGGTGGGTTGTCGTGATGCATAGATGGCAGAGCGCATCCATTGATGGACCGAAAGGTCGTTGGAGTTGTGCTGTTTGGCGTGGTTGCAGTGGTCACCTCGCCACTGCTGCATGTAGCGTAGTGTAGATTGTAGTTGTAGTGTAGCGTTGTTGGGTTGCAGTTGCAGTTCTACCGTAATGTAGTATAGTTTAGTGGCTGTAGTCGTTGTTGCTGCCGTAGTTGAGCTGTAGTTGTAGTTGTAGCACCGTGGTAGGGAGGGTAGTGTAGAGTGTAGAGTAGTGGTAGTTGTGGTTGTGTTGTAGTGTGGTGGTAGTGTGGTTATAGCTGTCGCTGCAGCTGTAGTAGGTGATGTTGTTGTTGTAGCTGTGGCTATAGTTGCAGTTGCTTCTGTTGCTCTTGTTATTATTTGTTGATGTAGTTGTAGTTGTTCTTGTTGTTGGTGGTGGTAGTGGTTGTGTTGTTGGTGTTGGTGTTGTTGTTGTTGTTGTCCTCGTTGTTGTCCTCGTTGTTGTCCTCGTTGTTGTCCTCATTGTTGTCCTCGTTGTTGTCCTCGTTGTTGTCCTCGTTGTTGTCCTCGTTGTTGTGCTCGTTGTTGTCCTCGTTGTTGTCCTCGTTGTTGTCCTCGTTGTTGTCCTCGTTGTTGTCCTCGTTGTTGTCCTCGTTGTTGTCCTCGTTGTTGTCCTCGTTGTTGTCCTCGTTGTTGTCCTCGTTGTTGTCCTTGTTGTTGTTGTTGTTGTTTTCCTTGTTGTTTTCCTTGTTGTTTTCCTTGTTGTTTTCCTTGTTGTTTTCCTTGTTGTTGTTGTTGTTGTTGTTGTTGTTGTTGTTGTTGTTGTTGTGGTTGTTGTTGTTGTCGTCGTCCTCGTCCTCGTCCTTGTCCTTGTTCTTGTTCTTGTTCTTGTTCTTGTTTGTTGTGTGTTGGTTGTTGGGTGTTGGGTGTTGGGTGGTTGGGTGGGTGGTTGTTCTGGTTTGTTCTGGTTTGTTCTGGTCGTTCTGGTTGTTCTGGTTGTTCGGGTTGTTCTGGTTGTTCCGGTTGTTCCGGTTGTTCCGGTTGTGGTTGTTGTTGTTCTTGTTCTTGTTCTTGTTCTTGTTCTTGTTCTTCTTGTTGTTGTTGTTGTTGTTGTGTTGTTGTTGTTGTGTTGGTGTTGTTGTTGTTGTTGTTGTTATCACTGTTGTTGTCGTTGTTGTTGTTGTTGCTGTTGGTGGTGGTGGTGGTGGTGGTTTTGGTGTTGGTTGTTGTTGGTGTTGGTGTTGTTGGTGTTATTGGTGTTGTTGGTGTTGTTGGTGTTGTTGTTTGTTTGTTGTTTGTCGTTGTATCGGTTGCATCCAAGTATCTGAACTTGGAACTTTCGTTGTAGTTGTAGTCGTAGTTGTCGAAGGATGTTTAGAAGTCAAATTCTGACAATATGGTGGGAAAAATGAGAGCAGAGAAGAGAAGAGAAGAAGAAAGAAGATTAGAGAAGAGAAAGAGTCAGAAGAAAGACGATGCAGGTCCGCGAAAAGGTAGAAAAGTCACAAAACCCTGTGTTTTTTTCCAATGTTTTGCGGCTCCAGAGGTTCGAAAAGTAAGCTTGCTAAAAAGCAGGTGCGGAGCCATTTGGTCAGATGAGAGATGAAATGCTAAAAAATACTTCGAGCTGAGACTTGGGATGTTGAAAAAGTGTACGCGTTTGTGCCGCGAAACACATGTGTAAGTCAAAATGTAGCGGGCGTTTGCAGCTTTTTTGGAAGTTGAAATATTGAAAAAGTGGGCGTTCTTGTCATTCGAAATATATTTCGAAGTCAAAAACAGCGAAATATACCGTAAGCTTCTTCACCAGAAAGACTTGCTGTAAATCTTACATCCGGCAATTGCGCAGAGAAAATTTTACAGGCAAATACTTTTACACACAGAAGCTTTTATACACAGAACCTTTTAATATTAACCCACATTTTTGCCCGAGAGCGTCTGGGCGAAGGGTTCTTCTAATAGTGGGGGTCTGTCAAACATTTTCAGATATTCACATCTTCACATAACATCTTAAAATCTTCACATCTTCTCAGCTTCACATCCTCATCACATGCTCACATCTTCACATCCTCACATCTTCTCATCTTCACATCTTCACATCCTCACATCCTCACATCTTCACATCTTCACATTCTCTCTTGCCCTCTTGCTCTCTTGCCCTCTTCCTCTCTCCTTCTTTTCTATTTCTCTCTTGAAGGCGCGGGGCAGTGCCAACGAGATGGCACGAAACGCAACTTTTTCGCACGAAACGATGTTCGATCACCAAAAACTGAGGTAAAATTGCGATTTCACGCATCCGGTCGCAACCCTTTCGCACGAAATGAGGTTCCATCGCGAAAAACTGGAGTAAAATTGCGATTTGCAAAGCATCCGGCGCAACCCTTTCGCTTCTGTGCGTAAAAGTGTCTGTGTGTAAAAGCTTCTGTGTGTGAAAGCTTCTATGTGTAAAAGCGTTTGTGTGTAAAAGCTTCTGTGCGTAAAAGCTTCTGTGTGTGAAAGCTTCTATGTGTAAAAGCGTTTGTGTGTAAAAGCGTCTGAGTGTAAAAAGCTTCTGTGTGTAAAAAGCCTCTGTGTGTAAAAGCGTCTGTGTGTAAAAGTGTCTCTGTGTGAAAGCTTCTGTGTGTGAAAGCTTCTGTGTGTAAAAGCGTCTGTTTGTGTGTAGATGCGTGTGTGTAAATGCGTCTGTATGTAAAAGGGTCTGCGTGTAAAAGCATCTGTGTTTAAACGCCTCTGTGTGTGAAAGTGTTTGTGTGTAAAAGTTTCTGTGTGTGAAAGTGTTTGTGTGTAAAAGCTTCTGTGTGTAAAAGGGTTTGCGTGTGAAAGCTTCTGTGTGTAATAGCGTATATATGTGTATAAAAGTCTCTGTGTGTAGAAGCTTCTGTGTGTAAAAGCGTCTGTGTGTAAAATGCGTTTGTGTGTAAAAGGGTCTGCGTGTAAAAGTTTCTGTGTGTAAAAACTTTTGTGCGTAAAGGCCTCTGCGTCTTGTATTTGAATCAATACATATTTAATATAGTGTTTTATAATATAGTGTCTCAATACGAATAACAGAAGATCCTGCTATACTCTCGGATCATCCGTCGTCTAGTTTCTATTTAAAAACTTACGCCTGACAACCGGGCGCCGGCCAAGCGACGACGATTGGCTGATGGTGTGGGAAAATTGGTCTGGAATTTTCCGCGCAAACCCAGGGAGGGTTTTGTTGAATTGAGGCAAGCATAATGCGCAGTGCTTGCCTGTATGGAAGCAGTCTGGGCCTATGTTGAGCGGAGGTTGTGCCTATGTTGGGCCAATCGAGCGCATGTTGAACCATCTTGGACCCATATGTTAGGCTAAGTCGGGCCTATGTTTAGGTATCGGGCCTATTTTGGATATATGTTGTCAAGGTTGGGCCTATTTTGGACAATATTGGGTTTATTTTGGGCCACGTTGGACCCATTTTGGCGCATGTTGAGCTACCTTGGGAGTTATATTGGGGCCATCTATATTGAAATAACTTTAAGATTCTTAAGATGATAATTTTTGCGCTCCGGACTCCTTCCTGGAGCCCAAAACCACGATATTTCTTGGGATTGCGAGCAAAATATACCGTTTATTACGGGGATTTTAATCGGAGAGAATGGTATGGCGGTGAATCGGGGATGGGTCGATTATAGGACTGGAAACCCTATAATCTTTAGTTAAAATAGGATATCATTTTGACATGAAAATTAAGCGATATGAAAACGTAGAAAAGAAAAAATAGGTTTGCTTCTAAGCTGCCTTTCCATTATGAATAAAAAATAAAAAAAACTAATAACTATTTTTTTTGTATTATTAACTTTATTTCGAATCATAATTATCCGAGTACCAAAAAAAAGTTGGTATTATCAACCCAAAATAATGTATTTCTTATTTACATAAATTCTACTTAATTTTTTTTTGCAATTTACAAAATATCTAATGGTCCTCCGACCAAAATATTTTTTGTTTTTTCCCACTGAAGCAGTATATTATTGACGATCGGAAAGTGCTTTTGATTTGTGACATTTCCTGTGGGATATTATAATTTGAAATAAATTCCCAATTCAACCCCTCGGAATTCCTCAAAAAAATATAGGACCGGATAACCCCACATGTTACCAACTTCTTTAGACTTAGACTGAGCGGTGATGGTGGCTGAGTTTGTGTGTGTGTGTATGTATGTGCATGTACAGGTGGGTGAGTGAGTGAGTGAGAGGGAGGGAGGGAGTGAGTGAGTGAGAGTGAGTGGTCCAAGTGCCATAGACCAGCATCATGACCTGAGCAAACAAGGCATGAATAAACAAGTCATGATAAGCTGACAAGCAATAAATCTGAATGAGCTGAGTTGATACATCGCCGTGCCCTGCTTCTGATGAGCATTACCTGAGCAAACAAGGCATGAATAAACAAGCCATGATAAGCTGACAAGCAATCAATCTGAATGAGCTGAGTTGATACATTGCCGTGCCCTGCTTCTGAAGAGCTATACGTTGTTTTCTGGTCAGCGAGGTCAACAAGTCGCGTTAAATTTGGACAAAGCTGACGAAAATTTAGCAGTCAAACGCGAGAAATCTCTATGCCTCATTACCCACAGCACGCGGAGCTAGCAAAATCAGCAGGACGCTTTAAGACCAGTTTCCGACTGACTGCTGCGGAGCAAACACAGGCGCACATCTTTTCGCCGCGGTGGGTGGCTGCGACTTGGCATGCTTGCACAAGAATGCGGAGCTAGGAAAATCAGCAGGAAGCTTCAAGACCAGTCTCCGACTGATTGCTGCGGCGCAAAGATAAGCTTACATCGCTTCGTCGCACCGAAATAGTTAAACAGCTACAATGGAAACAGCTGCTATCAATAGTTAAACGGCTGCAATGGAAAAAGCAAGAGTGGCACGACACTCGCCGAACCTCTGCGTTTTTTGGGTGCTGTGTCCGCACAGGTACGCAATGGAGAGAGACAACTGCTGGTTAACGCAGAAGTTCAGTAACTCAAATCCAACTCGCCGAGCCTCGGACAGAAATACTTTAACGGCTGCAGCAATGGTACGTGTGTCTGTGTGTGTCTGCGATGTATGTGTGTGTGTGCGTGTGGTGTATGTATGGGATGTATGAGTGTGGTGTATGCGGGTGAGTGTATCAAAGCGGCGGAGACCAAATGGCACCAGAGAGACGCCAGACGGACGCCAGGCCGTACATACGACCCCTTGGCAATGCACGTTGTGCCACGCCTGCGACGCAAAAGGGCGGAGACCAAATGACACCAGTGAGACGCCAGAGGGACGCCAGGGCATACATCCGACCCCTTGCCAATGCACGTTGTGCCACGCCTGCCACACCAGAGGGACGCCAGAGGGACGCCAGAGGGACGCCATCCGACCCCTTGGCAATGCACATTACCAATGCACGTTGTGCCACGCCTGCCACGCAAAAGCGGCGGAAACTAAGGGGCACCAGCGGCGGAGACCAAATGGCACCAGAGGGACGCCAGAGGGACGCCAGGGCGTACATCCGACCCCTTGGCAATGCACGTTGCGCCACGCCTGCCACGCAAGAGCGGCAGAGACCAAATGGCACCAGCGGGACGCCAGAGGGACGCCAGGGCGTACACCCGAGCCCTTGCCAATGCACGTTGTGCCACGCCTGCCACGCAAAGGCGGAAACCAAATGGCACCAGAGGGAGGCCAGGATCCAGAAACCACAGTCATCACTTTCCTGCAGGGGAGTCTTTTTAGTGGCAGCAACTTCCCACACAGAAGAATGCCCAGCAGCTTCCCAGCTTGTTTCCTGCATGCCAGTGACATAGCTGCTTCAGGTGACAGTGAATCAAAGTAACACAGCAGCTTCTGGCACAGTCCCAGAAGGCATCAGAAGGACCAACAGAACCCAGTGATGCTCTGCATAGGTTGGGCAAATCTGTGTACTAGCAGAAGCTTTGCACTTCTCCACCGCAGCAGCCACAGTTTCAGGAGTAGCCACAAAGTCAGGAGCCACATCCAGCAGCAAGGTTCCAGTCAGATTTGGATCCAACAGCTCAATCCTCTGTGCTTTCAGGATGTCAGCAGCAGTACCACCCTGTGAGAAATGCCATCTCAGCACCTCCCAAGCACGCAGAATATGCTAGTCCAGCAGCACCTGTGGTGGAGCTTTCAGAGGTTCAATGATCTCAGCACCAAAATCATCTTCCAGATGAGACCTCTGCAGAAATCCACAGGGTTTCAGAATAGTCTGCAGCTTGGCCCAGCTTCATATTCTTCAATTTCAAAGGCTTCTTCCAGGCAGGATCCACTTCAGCAACCTCATCAGCTTTGACCACCACAGTTGCCAGTGCAGGTCCCAGACAGGAAATCTGAACAGTGCCAAGGACAGAGTTGTGTGCTGTGGCAGTTCCAGAACAGCCACAGTTGCTACCTTCTTTGAAAAGTTTCACAGCCTTGCCAAACAGAATGCCTTGCTCTTTCTTAGCAGCCTTGGCCAGGACAGGGTCAGATTCTTCTGGTTGCTCTGGGGCAGGCTTCTCTGCCACAGCTTCAGCTTTGGATTCTTCAGACTTGCCCAGCAACTTCTTGACAGCTTTGGCATCAGCCATCTTTTGCTTGCTTTTCAGCTTTTGCTTTTTCACAGCTTTGCCCTCTCCAATCTTGACAGAGTTCTTTCCCTTGGCAGGCTTTCCACCTCCAGCAACCGGCACCACAGCTGCCACAGCTTGTGACAGGCTTTGGCCCTTCAGCTTGTCCTGAAGGTGCTTTCTCCAGCTTGCAGCTAGAACCTTTCTGGCCTTTTTGGACAGGTTCTTCTGCAGCTTCTTCAGTGCCAGCCTGGCAGCCTTCTTAGGCTCAGCCACAGTGTGCTTCCAGGCCAGAGCTTGCAGGTTCAGTGGCACCTTCAGCAGGCCACTTTCAATGCAGTCCCACTGCAGCACAGGTGGCAGCTCACAGAGCATCTTCATTGCCAGCATCCTCCTCAGGTTCACAGCTCTCTTGCCAGAAAGCCAGCTCATGCAGATCGGTCAGAGCCTTGGAGCCACCAATCACAGAGTAGTCAGGAGGCAGTGGAGCCAGAGTGCCATTCACCAGCTTTTTAACCCAATCATATCTTTCCTTCAGCCAGGCAGAGTTCAGTCTGGCACTGCCAATAGGGTACTCAGAGACGGGGCCAATGACAGGTCTCAGCTGTCCAGCGTCTTCATGACTGGCAATCCAGACTTCCCTGGAGCCAGACTTCAACAGAGCCTCCTGACAAGACTGCCTCAAGTCACCCATGGCAGAGCGACCGAAAACCTTAAATCTTCTGCTGAAGTCAGTGTCAGTGAGTGGAAGAGAGGCTGTCATCTTTGGCAGGATGCAGCACTGTAAGCTTTGTGCCAGATATAGAGTCTGACAGCTGGATGGAGCCCAACGGCTGAGAAGCCGTCTCTTTGGTGTAGGCTGCAGGGACTCAGCTGCCCCAGCTCCTGCCGAGCGCAGGAAGCATAGCTGCAGTGCTACAGAAAGATACCGTAGATCACAAATCTTTGTCGCTTGGTTTTGCAAGGCCATCCAAGGCCTATGAATTCAGAATTATAGCATAATTTTGTACCTTTTCGCCCGATTTGGTTTAGAAGCTGCGGCCTTGACTTTCAGGAATTTGAACCTCACGGACATGAAGAAGCTGACAGATGATTTGCTGGAAAGGCTGGCGCCAACTCTACCTCCCAAGCTCCAAGAACTCAAAATGCACCTCGCACGATGTGAGGAAGTGACTGACAAAGGTCTCAAGGCAATTTGTGGCTACATTCCCAGAGAATCGAATTTCTTGCTGTTCTGCCTTCATGGATGCAGATGTGGCCATGGCCCAGATTGCCGGTACGAGCGAGTCTGACTTCCAAAGTATTGCGTGTGCAGCAAGTCTGGCCTTCAAGGTAGAAGAGCTGGCAGAGCTGACGAAGTTCAGCGCTGCAGAGCATGGACCAGTGTGCAGATGTAAAACGAACGCACAGTGCACAGCCCCAAGTGTCAAGAATTTGATACGGCTTTGAGAGTGGTTCCCGATTGATCCCAATGACGCTTTGCACAGGTGTCCCGGAGAGAGATTGTTGAGTTTTCCCATTCCTTTAGGTGTCACAGAAGATGGTCAAAGTTCCTGCTTTGCTGCCTGTTGGTAGATGCATTTGATCTTGGGTTTGCTCAAAGGAACTCCGGAACCAAGGAGGCCTAGTGACTGTGCGACTGGGCCTGTGCGCCTACAGGGAGGCAGCAGACTTAGCGTCGTAAGTGACGTCGTTGTGCGCCCCCCAAAACTGACATTCTCATGTTTGCGCAGGTCGGGTCATGGGCTGCTGCTGCTCCAAAGCAAAGGTTCCTGCGGGGCCCTTAGCCGCAGACCATCTTGAATCAGATTTCTCTAGCTCACACAAAGCCCCAACAAACCGAACGATTGGCAAACCGAACTTACAAGAAGATCCAGCTTTTTGGGAGAGAATGCTGACCCAACTTCCGATATTTATCCTACGGTTCAGAAGTGCCCTTATGTTGCTCATGTATATGTATCGGTGGCTCATGAAGTGAATCAAGTGGTAAGTGCGTCGAGTTGTGCATATTAGTCACAGATGCTGCCTGGACTAGTGCCTAGACGCGACTAGACCATGACACGTTTGGAAGTCAACATCACGATTCAATGGGGGGATTTGCCTCTCACTTGCGCCCATGTATCTGCCGTTGACGCTCTGCGTCTACACGAGCGCTTTTCTGGTTGGTTCATATCAAAACCCAAAAACTTTGAGCAGCAGAACAAAACATGATAAGCGGACCAGAATGGGTCATAAATGGTCAGCTTGGGTCATAACTTGGAAGTTCAACAGCCGAGCTCCGGAGCAGGTTCCAAATGCCTTAGCGGCCACCAAGGCGATGGGTTAACAGCCAGAAGTGATGAACAGTGATGGCCAATGGACAATCTAGTCAACCACGGAAATCTGTGACAACAAACGAATACTTGATTTGATTGGTTGAAGTTTCTGGGATCGAACATTAAAGAAACAAGCTGTTCTGATGAGCATTTCTGTGTTCTTGAGGGGTACTGCATCCGATAGTTCTTGTTCTTCGTTCTATTGGTACGCCCTTTTTCTTTCTCTTCTATTGCGGTACAGTTTTTTCCCGAATGCGTAGCAAGGGTTCCCGTTTCACTCTGGGGGTCTGGGGGTTGAGGGTGTGTTGTGTTTCTGTTCGCAACCGTCCGCAACAGTCCGCGCGATTGCTATATGGCCGTGCCTATGGTAAGTTCTGCAGAGGTTGTCATTTTTGGAGGTTTCAAATTGTTTCGTTGCTTCGTTTCGCGTGGCAGGCCTGGCGCTTCGTGACATTCAGACGTGTTTTGTAACGTGTCGAAATTCGTTTTGTGTGGCAGGCGCAATACTTTTGCGACGTTTTCAGAAGATGCGTTGCAGTTTTCGTGGCAGGTGCAGCACTTTGGACGTGTCCAGCGTCATTTTGCGTGGCAGGCGCAGCACTTTAGACGTGTGGTGTTGCGTGTTTTTGCGAATCGCATTGGCAGGGCTGCGTCAAGTGGCGACAAGGTGCAAATTCCGTGGCAGGCGTGGCACTTTGTGAGATGTCCTGAAAATTGACGGCAGCCTCGCACGAAACATCGATTTTGAGGTAGAGGTTCCTAAGAAAACTCGTAGGAAAACGTTGATTCTGAGGCTGCAAAATGTCAAAAATTGGAGGAAGTCTCGCACCCTGTCTATGGGAGAAGCTGCAAAACCTCTCCTTTTCGAAGGTTTCCAAGCAGGTTGTCATGTCGTTTTGCGTGGCAGGCGTGGCACTTTGTGACATTCCAACTTGTTTGATATCGTGTCGAAATTGTTAGAATTCGAGGGGTCTCGTACCAAATGCTGGTTTTTCTGCATCCACGTGTCTCGTCTCGAGTCGCTGGTTTTCCTGTGGCGTCGCCGTGTCTATGGGGGAAGCTGCAAAACCTCTCTTTTTCGAAGGTGTCCAAGCAGGTTGTCATGTCGTTTTGCGTGGCATGGGGGGTCGCGCTTTGTGACATTCCAACCTGTTTGATAACGTGTCGAAATTGTCAAAATTGGAGGAAGTCTCGTACCAAATGCTGGTTTTTCTGCATCCATGTGTCTCGTCTCGAGTCGCTGGTTTTCCTGTGGCATCGCCGTGTCTTTGGGGGAAGCCGCAAAACCGCAAAACCTCTCCTTTTCGAAGGTTAGCAGGTTGTCATGTCGTTTTGCGTAGCAGGGGTGGCACTTTGTGACATTCCAACCTGTTTGATAACGTGTCGAAATTGTCAACATTGGAGGAAGTCTCGTACCAAATGCTGGTTTTTCTGCATCCATGTGTCTCGTCTCGAGTCGCTGGTTTTCCTGTGGCGTCGCCGTGTCTATGGGGGACGCTCCGCACTCCACACTCTACACTTTTCACTCCACACTCCGCAATTTACACTGTAGACTCCACACTCTACACTTTACACTCCACACTTTACACTTTGCACTTTACACTCCTCACTCGACACTTTACATTCCACCACACTTTACACTCCACACTCTACACTTTACACTCTACACTTTACACTCTACACTCCACACTTTACATCTTACACTCCACACTTTACACTTTACACTCCTCACTCTACACTCTACACTCCACACTCTTGACTCTTCACTTTACACTCTACACTTTACACTCTACACTCCACACTCTACACTTTACACACTCCACACTCCTCACTCCACACTTTACTTTACACTCCACACTACACACTCCTCACTTTACACTCCACGCTCTACACTTTACACTCGGCACTCCACACTCCACACTTTACATTCCATACTCCACACTTTACACTTTACACTCCTCACTCCACACTTTACACTCCGCACTCCTCACTTTACACTCTACACTCCACACTCTACACTTTACACTCTACACTGTACACTCTAAACTCCACACTCCACAATGTACACTTTACACACTCCACACTCTACACTCCACACTCTACACTCCACACTCCACACTGTACACTTTACACTCCACATTCCACAATTTACACTTTAGACTGCTGACTCCACACTCCATACTCTACACTTTACACGCCACACTTTACACTTTGCACTCCACACTCCACACTCTACACTTTACACTCTACACTTTACACTCTACACTCCACACTCTACACTTTACACACTCCACACTTCTCACTCCACACTTTACACTCCACACGCTACACTCCACACTCCACACTGCAGACTGGTAACAGGGGAAATATGCACAAGACTGTTCAAATAAACTATTGCAGAAAAGTGTTCTGCGTGATTGGATATCCATGTGTTTTGACATCTGTACCATTAACATACGTGTGAGCATTCGGGTTCGTGGGCTACATCTTGTTCATTTCTATTGCGTTGCAGTATACTCTCGATGTCCGTAACAGCACCGACCGGTTCCCAAACTGGCTGCAAAACGGTATATAAGGTCTACTTTTGACCCGCGATCAAGAACCTTACCAAAACACAAGGCTCACCCCTTTCTTAGTGTTTCCAAGCCACTTTCCTTGGCCTGTTTGCAAATCAGTTGCTCCCCGCAAAGCAACCACAGGGCGTTGTTGGACCAGCATGGAGAGCCGACATGGCGTCCAATCAGCTCACAACTGGCGCCGACATGGAGGTCACTGGCGCAAACAACTGAACTGCCCACCTGCACAGGTGACCTCCATGAGGGTATCAATCACACGCCAACAGCGCATCGAAAGAATGGAGTTGTGTGAATTCCTGTTGGGTCAAAGGGTGTGGCGTTTGTGTAGTCAGAATATCAAGCCGTGATATGTTATTGGCTAGGCTGTTGTTTTTTTAATGGGGTTACACATTATCAAAGGAAGTTTAGGGGGAGAAACTTCCGTGTTACGGACTTTTAGAATGTCAGGGAAAGAGGTAGTCAAAGAAAGAGTTAGCAAAGAAAGAGTTCGTCAGGGAAAGAGTTAGTCAAAGAAAGAGTTCGTGAGGGAAAGAGTCAGTCA